CTGCTGAAAGTTCATCAGTAAACCTGCAGAAAAGGTTACAGAGGGAAGCTGCAGCTTTCATCATCACACACCAGATACCTGGCTTTGTAAGCGGATTTTGCAAAGATTCTATCCTGTAGTATACAGTATATGTGTACCCATATAATGTGTACCCATATAATCCCATACAATCCCATATATATATATATTTTGTATGCATATTTATTTACAGATAGAACAATGCCTACAAAATTATGAAGCACCGATGGATGGTGTGTCTCTAAAACACGCACTACACCAGCGGGGCATCAACCTGCGTTATCTGGGCCACGTGATGAAGGCAATCTGTCAGTCTGAACACAAACAGTGTCTGAGGCATATAGTGGTGCGTTTTCTTTCTGCACAAATAAATGCTATCCATACACTGTGGCAAACTTTCCTAACTGGAATTTTTATGTTATTTAATCATCAGAGGTCAGTTGTTGCTGATATCTTCATCCGTTCCACCAGAAGAGTCTTCAACACCTTTCTCCAGGTGCTTTAAATTATTCTGTAATGAACATTCCCAGGTGCTGATGTCATTGTAGTGAAAATAGCATAAGACATGGATCAACATGATGTATGAGGATCAGCTTCAGTCTAATGCAGCCTTGTCTCTGCAGGGTGTGGATGTGCCAAGTCTCTGTGCAGCTGTCAGTCACTTCCTCTGCTGCCTATTGGTTCCACACTTTTCACCCATACCTGGGGGGGAGGAGGCAAAGAAGAAGTCAAGGCGGCGTGGCAGAGGAGCGGGGCCCAGTGAAAGCACACCCTGGAGCACTCTTACTGGGTCTGAGTTGTGGAACCTGGTCTGCCAGGATGCTGTTGAGACATACAACATCTCTGACAGCCTCGGGTGAGGACACGACCTTTGTTTGTGCACACTTTGACTTCACTCACGTTTGCTCATTGGTCACTCTAAGAAATTTGTGTTTCTTTAACGGCAGCTCTGGCCCAAACCAATTTGTGGAGCAGTATGGCCTTCAGAAGCTTTCCTTACTGAGGGAGTTATGTTTAAAGACTGGAGTGCAGGTAACACCAGGCTGCTGTGTTAATGGATTTCATCAAGTCACCAGAACGACCAATACACACAGAACAATTAACTAGGGTTGTCCGCTATTAACGATATGCCGATATTGTCCAAACACCGATATCAACCAATACCGGCCTGGTAATATTTATCTGTAAACCACTGTCTTAGTATGAGATTGATTAAAGAAGCTACAATGCTGCCATTTAGTGACTTGTAAATATACAGCCGTTTATCCCCAAAACTATTTTTAGAGCACACATCATTTGATGAAACCCAGGCATTGCATTATCGGAGGAAAAATCCATAATGATTCTTACAGATTATTACATAGTATTGGTCGGTCGATATTATTGGACATGCCTATAATTAACCCTTGATATTACTCAGGTAATTTTTTTTTTATTCTGTGTCTACAATAGTTAAGACTGAGGGACTACATGCTTGACAACCAAAACAAAGCTCCTATTGGTCCAGACGATATCCTCCACCTTCTGCCTGTCGTCAAACACATCCACATGCCTACTGTGGATGCTTCAAAAGCATTCTATGCAGCACAGAACTTTATCCACAAAGGTGGGACATTAACACTGACTACATCCTTCATGTTTGGTGTATGTCCTGATGTGGTAACCCTTAGTTCTTTCCTGATGAAGGTCTGCTGGATCAGGCCCATGAGCAGCTGAAAGAAGCAGCCTACGTGTTTGGTAGAGTGTGTGACGACCTGCATCCTGATGCGGGTTATTGCAACAGCCTGTTGGCCAGAGTGGCCTACCTGCAGGGTAAAATAGCAGAGGTGGGTTTATAGCGACACAGTGCCACACAGCTGTGGAGTTGATATAGCAAGCCTACGGATACATAATGCACAATTATTGAGCGCATGTTGTTATAACTGTATGCAGTATGTTGACTTGTCATTCAAATGACAAGTCAACATACTGTATTACATTACATTACATAATTAGCCTGCAATTGTAGGATTGTACCAGTACACAACCCAAATTCTGTAGTCAGCTCCTGTTGATTACAAATGATACATAGGATTACTGTTAGTTGCATCTTTAGTTTGAATGACAACCCAGAAGAGCTCTACTTGATTGTACTTGTTTTGTACTTGCTTGATTATATTAGGCTTAGAGTTAATGCAGACAGGTACACACACTGGACACCTTTTAGGTACTAGGGTGATTGCTGCTGGTTCAGTTCATCTTCTTTAAGGTATAAAGTACTGAGAGGCTGTGTCAGGCTGTGTTTCACTGCTCACTGCTGCTCACTGGATATCATTGATCATAGTCATTAAATCCCAGAGACTGCATGAATTTCCAATAAATAAATAAAAAATTCTTTATGCAGCATAATAACTGTTCAAACTCACTTGAGTTGTTTTTCTTCTCATCTCGATGATTACCGTATTTTTCGGACCATAAGGCACACCGCATTATAAGGCGCAAAATCAATGAACGGGAATATTTTCATACATAAAGCGCACCGGGTTATAAGGCGCATTAAGTGAAGCAAAACAGTCAGCGAAACAATTAAGCGGAACAATCAAGCATGTCCAGATCCCTCTTGTCAATATCCGAGTCGGTCTAGTTGCTGTTAATTAGCTGTTCAGTGATGATTCCGGCCTTCGTGAAAGCTCGGACGACATTTGAGACTGATACCTTAGCCCAAGCATCCACGATCCACTGACAGATAGTGGCTTAACTCCTCCGGCGTTGCCTCCCTGTCTTGATGAATCTGTGTTCGCCTTCTGTCATCCAATGCTTCCACGCAGCTCGCAAGTTAACTTTGAACGCCCTGCTAACACCAATATTTAGCGGTTGGAATTCTGTGGTTAATAAACCCGGAATGATGGCAAGTCCCGAATTAGTTTGCTTCACTTCGGTTATGTCAATATCGGTGAGATGGCGCTCATGGAGTCGCAGATAAATAGGGACGATTTGTGGAAAAGGGTAGTGACCTATGTTGGACACAGGAGGGCACTGTTGTTATTGTTCGCCCCTCCAGAGTCAGGCGGTTGTCACTAGTTTTGATCTGGATGGTCACCGTATTGTTGTTTTGACTCTGTTACGTGCGGAAGTGCGGATGTTGTTTTGCAGAGAGAGTGTTTTCCTGGATCGATAAAAAAGGAGAAATAAAAAGAGTTGTTGACCACGAAAAAAAAAATCGACAGTCATGCGTCTGAGTCGTCATGCGTCTGAGTCGTCCTGCATCGCACCATACATCGACAATTCAAAAACAACGCTGAGTCTCCGGGTGTTGGGAGGCACGAAGCCGATTTAGGTTACACAACCATACACTAACAGTTGTTAAACATGTTCTAATTGTGATAACTTAAACGTCATTGTTGGCTCCCAGTGTGATTCAGTTGTGTGCCATCATGTGTGATGCGCTGTGTGGTTTGACTTTATAAAATCGGTTCGAGGTCAGTAAGCGCAACCAGAAGTAATACATAAGGCGCACCGGGTTATAAGGCGCACTGTCGATTTTTGAGAAAATTACAGGTTTTTAAGTGCGCCTTATAGTGCGGAAAATACGGTAGTTCTATTTCAGCTCTGACTTCCTTTCTCACCTAGGCTCGCGGTATCCAGCAGAAAGCAGTGGTCATCAGTGAGAGGGTGCTCGGCTTTGACCATCCAAACACTATTCAACAATATGTGAGTATTGCTGCTATCTGAGTATTCTTAAGTTTTTGAATGTAATTATGTACTACTTGCGTTAAATGCATCGTATTTAATGTATGTGATGTCTTGCTTCATGCAGACCCACTTGGGTGTGTACATGTTTGCTAGTGGTGAAACTGCACTAGCCCAGAAGTGTCTGCTGAGAGCTCGTCTGCTGATGTTAACAGTCCATGGAGAAGACCACCCATACACCGCAACACTGGATGTAAGTTTTAGTGCTGAATTATTCCTCCCTCCATTGATCCTGGACGTTTTCAATGAGAGCTAGCTAAAAATAATAATAATATAACCCTTTGTTTTCTTACAGAACTGTCTTGGATTGATACTGACAGGAGATCAGAGGGGACAGTACTTAAAGAACGCTCTGAGACTCAACACCTCCTTCTTCGGTCCCATTGATTTGCACACTGCTCTTTCGTCAGTGGAAATTTAAAGCGTGAAATGTTCATCTTTAATATGCTTATACATGTAATCCCTGATTTCCTCATGTGTTTTTTTTTTTTTTGCAGTCAGCACCTGTTGGCCCAGTGGCTGTGCAGTAAAGGTGACTACCGTGGTGCAATGACTCACGAGAAGGAAGCCCTCACTGCTTTTACCTACTTGGTTAGTAGTGACAAAAAAGCTCAACCAACATTTTTGTGGCTGTTGCAGAGGCTTTAGATATATTCGGAAGTGTGTTAAATAAGTAATCACGTCATTCTGTACCCTGTGGCTGTTGTTTCTATGTATTCTAAGTATACATATTATCTCTTCCAGTTTGGAGACAACCATCAGCAAACGTTCGGCAGCAAAGACTTTCTGAGTGCCATCACCAAGCAGGCCGTGCAAGTGGAACGCACTCTGCGACAGGCAGGAGCTGACAGTACAGAACAAACCGTGGAGGTAAAACTGTGTCTCTGTTGTCTGTGATACTTTACTGACTTTACCATAAACAAAAATAGATAAATGTCTTTGTTTAACTCACTGTTTTTTCAATGCTTTTAGAGTCTGGCTCCAACAACTGACATCATCCTAGAGCAGATGGTTCTGGTTACAGGAATACGAAACATAAAATGGTAAATTTGATTGATATAATAACAGAAGTCATTATTGGTGCTATATTCTACAGAATGTTTTTTTCTAGCTAATTGCAAGTAATCTAATATAAGATAATCTTTCTAATGAAGAAAGCCAAAAGTAATAGTAATGTGATATTTACAGGTGTAAGTAAGAATAGGTTGAGTTGTGGGCTCAATGTGCTGTTCCTTTACCTAGGGGGTGCCAGAAACATATGTAAAGCAAATTCAGGGTTTCATTATAATTATATACTGGATCAATAGGTGCAACATTCAGATGCTTCTACCCAAAATAAAGATGGACTACAGTTTCATGCTTCAAATTGCAAATAGTTTTGCATAAAAAAATATACACAGAACAGCAAACGTTTGTTCTTGAATTTAGATATGCAAATGTCTATGTTTCACTGGGTAAACAGTGGCTTATGTTTATTATTATTTCTCCAGCAATGGTTTACAGGAAAATAAACAAAAACACCAGGAACGCAAGGCAGCAGTGCGAAAAGAGCTGGGACTCAAATTCCCTAATGAGCAGGAAGACTTAGATTCTGCAAAGGCAGCAGATAAAAGTGGTAAACAAGTGACAGAAGATGGTGCTGGAGTAGTTACAGCTAACAGTCACGTGATAGAGTCAGCAGAACAACATCAACTGGATGACAAAACGTACATCAATGAAGGAGAACCTTCAGATACTAAAGTAAAGATGATGAATGGAGGACCTGAGGTCACAGCTGCAGGAGAGGAGGCTCACTGTGGCCTGGCCAATGGAGGGGTGGACGCATTTGATAAGACAGAGTCAGAGAAGAATGACGTTAAAGTAAATGGAACTTTCAACCCCACAGCTAGCCCACCTGCACTGAAGACTCAAAGGTCCTGGGCTGATGTGGTTTCAAAATCAGGTACAGTCAACGAGCCGCCAAAGAAAGACGCAGAAGTCAACGGAGTCACAGAAGAAGTCACTGCCAGTGGAACAGCTGAAGAGTGAACAGATATCAGACATACAACATGGTGGTAGTCCAGTATTTTCCTGTTACTCTGTATATTACTTGTGCTCTCATCTTTGACCACCATTGCATTGAAAACATTCTTCTTCCTGAGATTGTTCTACCCAGAGGCCAATAAAGCAAGCATTTAAAGTGTAACTATTGTAGTACATTTGTGCATCATACACTTAGCACTAAAATGACCCAATATGTCTTTGTGTCTGTGTGTGCATGCCAACTTTTCCTTATATTCATTAATACTCATATTCTGGGACAAAATGAAAATCATTGCAAAGACAAACAGTGTGTACAAATGCAAAGGACCGCACAAGGGTTAAGCATTAGTCCCCTGGGGCCTTATGTACGAATGTTACATATGCACATATACGTCCTTTTCCACTCTTACGTTCAGATGTATCAAAAATTAAATGAGCGTGGAAATGTGTGGGTCTCACAACAGCTCCATCGCTTGCGTACGCATGTTTCTACAGCCGTCGTGCCTTTGGCGACACTAAGAGGTGATGTTGGGATATTGTTCAAAGTAGTCACCAGAATGATTTGCACATCTGAGACACACGTATGAACAATTACCACACCCACGTGTTTGCGGTTATATGGGTGGATATAAAAACATGCGCAAAGAGGTGAGGAGAATGATAAGAAATTAGGATAGTCCTGTGAACGTTTTAATTGTATCTTAACTTTAAAAAGACTTACCGGTAGTTGTCTTTGAAAAAAAAGTTACGATTTTCCGATTACAGTCACTTCCTATTACTTTACTTGTGACAGATAAAATAAGTCCATCCATCCATCCATCCATTTGCAACCGCTTATCCGGGGCCGGGTCGCGGGGGCAACAGTCTGAGCAGGGACACCCAGACTTCCCTCTCCCTCGATACTTCCTCTAGCTCTTCTGGGGGGACCCCAAGGCGTTCCCAGGCCAGCCGAGCGACGTAGTCGCTCCAGCGTGTCCTAGGTCTTCCCCTAGGTCTCTTCCCAGAGGGACGGCACCCGAGCACCTCCCGAGGGAGGCGTCCGGGGG